TTACCGCATGCATGGCAAGTGGCATTACGGAATCGATAAGTCGAACGAAGATGGTATTCATCACATGAAAAGCAGTGGTTGGTCGCAGCCTTCGGTTGTGTTCGGCTTGAACTGGGTACTTGAGGAAACTGGGGTGAATTATAAACATTAGGTGCGTCACGTAAGGGTTTCGTTGATCGCCGATGGAATGCCACATGAGTATCCGCATTTGTGGCAGTGTAGTGTCTTACTTTTCTACCCACTTTATCTGACCTGATTGTACAGCTTGTTTTAAGATGCTCAGGACCTAATACACAATGCAAAATTCTGTTCGTAAATACGCACGTGTTCTCCGAGTGTTGCTGAGGAATTAGGCAAGCATTATCAGTTATCGTCAAGCGGTCCGTTAACTGTCGCAGTCGCCCATTTCAGCTCCTCTACACCTCGTCGACCGGAACTACACATCACAAGAACAGGATCAATCGACCAGCGGACAATCCTTCTGTGAGTCCGTTCCTTGTACCGTTTATTTCATTATTATTCGTATATGTAGTATCTTTTCCACTACAGCAGCACACAAATCGTCACTTTGCTCACAGATTTTTCGAGCCTCAGCAAACATGATATCTTTCTTTTCCAACATCTTACGTTGTAATGAGATGTTGTTGATTCCAGCAATGAGACGGTCACAAAGTTGTTCTTCCAATCGGTCACCATAGTTGCATTTTGACGCCTGTTTGTTCAACTGAAGAATGAACTCACGGCATGGCATATTGGCAGCTCTGATCATTGAGTTGAATCTGCAACGTTCAGTGGCCTGAAAACTCACTGGGAGAATGTGGTCCAGCAATAGGGATTTTAACTTCTCGAACGGCAATTCAGCAGGAACATTCAAGAACGCTAGATTCTTCACCAGGGAACACAGCTCTCGGCCGCCCAATGTCAAAAATAGGACCGACTGACTTTGCATTCCTCCTTTCCGGATGCTGCACCACAATTCGAAACGTTTTACCCACCCTTCGATTTCTGATGGGCTTCTGTGCAGATTCAGTGGTTCAGTGACAGGAATCTCCGTTGCGCGACGCCAAATTGTAGTAATCGGAATAGTATTGAATTTAGGATACGAGAATCCGTACTGTACTGCTCATAACTGAATTGGCTCCAACCCGAACTGCGGGCATTAATGAAATACACGAGGAATTGATAGCAGCAAATGCTTATGTTTATTGATAGAACAAGAGCATGTTTTAGAGAAGGTAATAGCTCATATGATTGGCTGAAGGGCCGTCGTTCCATTACGTAACCGTTTGCGCCGACGCATCATATGTACTAACTCGGATATCACGTTCGCCCAGTGTACCATTGGTCGACCTTCTTGAACGGTGATTGGATGACATGACACTATACCTAGTCGTGCATGGATTGCGGTCACGGAAGTCTGGATCACCACACCCTCATTTCGGAGACCTGCTCAAATCCACCTGACTACGTTGCACGCAAGTCCCTCTTCCACACTCACCATTCTCTGTGATACTTGCTCTGGACACCCTCGACCCATTTTACCGTTTAGTATGCGTCAACCCATTTTTACGCATTTTCATTCATTTTTGCACCCGCGTTCGTTCTACGTTACATCTGATTGCCGATCGTTAAGTTCGGCCCAGCATGAACAAAGACGTCCGACATTGGGCAAAATCTTGTGTACAGTGCCAACGAAATAAGATACACCGCTACGCGGTTTCTTCCCCAGGTCATTTCCCTGTCCCAGACATTCGTTTTTCTCATGTCTAAATTGACCTTGTTGGCCCACTTCCCACTTCAAATGGTAAGACATCTGTTAACATGTGTTCATCGTCTTACACCTTGCCGTTCCCCTGGCAGACATTTCTTGAGAGTCCGTCGCACAACATTTCCTGTCACACTGGATTTCCCATTACGGTGTTCCCCACACTGTAACCACTGACAGAGGTAATCAATTCCAATCCGCGCTCTTTCGTGATTTCACGCGGCTGCTTGGTTGCGAACACATTCACGCCACTGCTTATCACCTCGCAGAAAACGGCTTATTTGATCGTTTTCACCGACAAATCGAAGCCTCACTTCGAGCTCACGAAGATTCTTGCTGGATCGAACATCTTACACTCACCCCACCGAGCATTCGCTCTGTCATCAAAGAAGACTTCGGATGAACAGCGGAAGATTTAGTGTACGGAATTACCTTCGCCTACCAGGTGATTTGCTTCAAACCCCACCGTCAACCCGTTTCTCCATCGACGTTTGCCGAAAGATTGCGAGACCATATGGTGCATACCAAACCAACTCCAAAATGCAAACACAAATGGACTGCAACAGTGCCTGATGATTTGCACACATGTAGCTACGTTTTCATTCGTTGCGATGATATACGTCGACCACTTCAAGAAACATACAGAGTAATTTCTCGTTCTGATATCTTTTTGTTTTGGATCGCAAGGGAACGCATGACTCGGTAAGCATCGATCGTTTAAAACCCTTGCCTTTATCGTGTATTCCGTTTGCACCTTCACTCTCGAAGAGGGGTACTATAGTGTCTTACTTTTCTATCCACTTTTAACTGACATGATTGTACAATTTGTTTTAATATGCACAGCAAGTAAAAACGCAACACAAATTCTATTCGTAACTGCGCACGTGTTCTCCGAGTGCTTCTAAAGCATTATATATTATCAGTTATCGTCAAGCGATCCGTTAACTGTCGCAGCCATCCACTTCAGCAGTACTGCACACAATTAACCGGAGCCACACATCTGAAGAACAGGACTAATCAACCAGCTGGAGAATCGTTCCATGTACCATTTATTTCATGATTACTCGTATACATAGTACCTTTCCCACTACAAAGGCAGCTCCTTACGGATATATAATAATACTCCACCTCTTCCTCCGCTGTGGGGTTCAATCCGTCCGAAAGACAACATCACCCTGGATCAACACTTCAGAATCGGCAGTCACCCACCAGAAATGATTCTGTGAGAGCAACCACAGCCGATCTGCGGGCGTGAACAAAGGCTTCGATCTCATCTCCCTGGTTAAGCAGACCGAGGACGTTTGAGAGAGCAATATCTGCGTTGTCCTTCATCGGTTGCTTTATGAACTCTCCACGGAGAGAATCACTGCACTGGGTGTTTGAAACGGTGGCCATTTCATTTGCAGCCTCGTCTGAACGACGCGAAAATCCCAAATTATTAGGTTATCCTCTCCGTTGGATCGCCTTTCATGAAGATCCACAATGGCAGCTTTCAACCTCGAACGCTCCTCAGGCTCCAGATCACGTAACAGTTGCACCGGACTGCCTCTCAGACGGTATAAACGAAGGAATACCACGGCTTGGATTTGGGCGCCGAGAAGTACCTTACAACTGCAAGGAAGGCGGTTATCGCTCATCTTACCCAGGCGAAATACTGCCTTAACCTGAATGTCGTTGGTTTCTTC